CAGACCACAAAGAAAACAGTCTCTCCTCAAAAGGCACTTACGTAACCAACACTCAAGCCATGAAAAACTACACAGCAAAAACTTAGCAAGACAGCAGGTAAATAATGTTTAACCCTAGTCATTGTAACTGTGGATGGATATTTGACTGTATAACTAGGATGTACCATAGAGGAAATTATTTCCGTTTCATCAAGGCATGAGAGGAAGATAGGGTGGGAGCCCAGGGTAACATTCAACCTGGATGGTATTCACTTGGCACTGAACTCCTTGCTGGTCTATAAAACCCTTGGAACTTCAGCAAGGGGAAGGCAACATTCCCAGGAAGTTTGGCTGGGCAAATCGGCACATTGTGCCCTCACAGAGAATGCTGTTCCTCCACTACTGGTGTGCATCTGTGTAATTAGACAAGCAAAACACTAGACTTCTGTCAGAAAAACACAGTTGGTATAGACTACGAGAGATTAAGTCAGCACCTGTGAATGGGCCAAGAATCCCTGCTAGCCGTCGGCCGTGACCAAGGGCCTCCTTGTGCCCTCCTCTTGCCCTGGGCCGGCATGTGCACCTTCTTTCAGGGCCAGCCTCAGAGCCTCAGACATGCAGTTGCTTCAGACAGCGTAAGAGGAAACCCATTGTGTCGCAGCTGGTATTGACAGATGTCTCCAGCAAGGAAGAGATAAAGGCCATTCAATTTCATCTTTCTTCAAAAACATTTCACCTAGATCCTATGTCTTTGCTGCAGATAATACATTTAAGGCCACCTGGATTCCTTCTTGGAGAAGCAAGACTTATGGAAACTCAAACACTCAAGTGTGTTCATTTTAAAGAATTACTGTCAAAAACAGAAGGATAAGTGGGGCCCTAAAATATGTATTTGCTAACTTTACTTTCCCATTGTCACAATTACCATTTGGTCTTAGCCAGTAAGAGATTTCACATGTGGGAAATTAATGAAGTGCATTCCATTGAGCATTATGTGGAAAAGAATGATCCCAGGCCCAGTGAGTAATTCTTATTTCTCGTTTATGATAAGGAATGAATCTGCTTATTTCAAAGTTCATTTGGCCTGCCAGCGCTAAATACTACCCCCAACCCCCAGGCATCATGAATGATACTTTTTTCTATATGGCAGGACTCTGGGCTGGAGGTCAAGGTCTTTCACACTTGACTTACTTACCTAAGAGTTCTGCAAGCTGGGAGAGAGACAGAGTCAATATTTTGTAGGAACAAAGATGCCCTCAGAGAGGATACCCTTTTGCTGCTGGTAAAGCTGAAAAAAACCTGAAAATAGCCAAACCGTCCTGAGGATTGGCTGGAACAGAGCTATCCCCTCAAACTGGCATCTTGTTCTACAAGACCTCTTGACCTTGCATTTCTACACATTCATTGTTTACGTATGTTAGGGAGTCCTCCCGCCTCCAGGCTCTCCTACTCACTGCCTTGAGATCTTGCCGTCATCATGTCAGGTTCTAAAACAATCATTCAAGGGGCACCTGGGTGGCTCATTCAAGTGTCTGACTCTTGATCTGGGCTCATGATCTCAGGGTTGTGACATCCAGCCCCATGTTGGGCTCTGTGCTGAGCATGGAGCCTGCTTAAGATTCTCTCCTCCTCCTCTGCTCTCTCTCTCTCAAAAAAAAAATAAAATAAAATAAAATAAAATAATAATAATAATAAATAAAAACAAAACAATCATTCAAAAAGCAGAATCCAGACTCCCTGCTCAGGCTATGAGCCTCAGCATAATCCAGCCCTCCCTACCTCATTTCCCTAGGCTCCTCAGCAGACACCCAAATGGCCTATTCATAGTCACCCACACCCAGCCTACCCTTGGCTCATGCCACCTGCTCTGCCTGGAGTACCTTCCTCACTCTGATTACTTATTCATAGTAGCTCCTAAGTAAACATTCTTTCCAAGTGATGAATTTAAAACCTACCCATTTTCAAGGCTCAGTCCAAATGTTAAGTTAAACACAAATCCTTTCCTGACCACCATAGTCTGAAGGCATCACTCCATTGTCTGAATTTCAAGTTATCATTTCTATAATCAACAAGTTATATTTTGTTCCTACCATGGGGCAGATACCAAGGCCCTAACCAGACAAGACACTGTCCTGCCCTCACAGAGCCCAGGAGTGCAGTGGGGAAAGTTATAAACATAATTACCCAACAGTGGCATGAGTGCTGGAATATTTAAAAGAAAATGTCTTACTATTGTTATACATATTTACTGAGCTCCTACCAAGTGCCAATCACCAGTCTAAGGTGCCTTTCATGAGCTTACATTTAATCCTAATGGTCCATTCCACAAGTTAAAAAAAAAATTCTGCAAAGTTCAGTTGATTTCCCATAGCTATCTGGATAAGCCCCAGAGCCTAGATTCAAACCCACTTGAGTCTGGGTTCCTTCCACCATCTCCCCAGCCTCCCAACCATGAGGTATATGCTGTGTTAGGAGACACAAGTAGTTAGACTAGAAGGACCGAAGACACCCTAGGTAAAAAGAACAGCACAGGTGTGTTCAGGAATGGTGAGTGGTTCAGAAAGCCAGAGAATAGGTATATGTGGAAAGGAAGCAGGTCAGCTTAGACTGGGAAGCACTGTAGGCTCATTCCTACAGATTATGGAAGAGCTTCAGTGTTTGTGTCACGTGAGGCTTAGAGCCTCAGAAGCTGGAGGCCATCTCAGACCAAGAGCAAACTGCATAGCTGCCATCAAGCCACCTAGCGGTTATCCTTCCTATTTATCACAACTCCTTGCCACTGCCTGGGCTCCTTCCTTCCTGGGGTTATGCTTATTGCAAAGTTGTCTGAAGATCATCAGAACACTAGCACCTATGGTGTGCAAGGCCCTACGTGCCTTCTCCCATCTAGTCCTCCCAACACTACAATGAGGTACTATTGTGCCCATCTGATGGGGGAGGACAAAGAGTCTCAGAGAAGAAGAATGTGTCTGCTTGCAGTGCAGGCTTCCAGTGCCAATGCCTATGCTCTTCATCACTTAGCCACGACCACCAAGTAACAGGATTAAGAAAACTTGGGCAGTTCCTCACGAAACACAAAGGACAGATGTTGCTGAGATCTTGAGGAAACATGCCTAGTTGAACTACTCTTATCAAACTCCTATGCAACAAATATGAAAATTGTTTAACCAAGATGTGACCAGAGACGCACATCTCCCACATGATCAAACCCAGGACCTTGATGATCTGAGAGTATCAGAGTTCTTAAGCATCCTCTCCTTAAGAGCAGTTTATCAAAACACCATGTTTTATCCCTTCAGCTCATTCCCTGCCACACTAACTTCAATTTAACCAAATATCTAAACATCTACTCTATGCCAGGTGACATCCTAAGAATGAGGATTACAGCAGGTAACACAAAGGACAAGATCCCTGCTCTCCTGAAACTTGACATCAGGCAAGGGTGACAAGTAGAAAGTAAACGAGAGGACTTCTGGTGACAAAGGCTATGAAAGATGGAGATGCGGTGGTGGGACAAAGGGAGAGGCTGGCTTGGAGAGCCCTTCCTGGGGAGGGAACATTTGGATTCATACTCAAATGACAAGAAGGAGTCAGCCTTCCAAGCTGCAGGATTATGAGGTCCTCATACTTAAAGTTCTAGTGGGCTGGAGAGGATGTTAGCAGTGATCTAGTCCCAACTCCTGATTTACAGGAGTAAAGAGAGGCTCATTGAGATGCAAACACCAGGACAAGGTGCCCCAACAGACTGCAAGCCTATTTCTTCCCACAGATCCTTTGGACACACACAGGAGATGTACATGCCTTACATTTGTGCCTCTAATCCCCTCATCCTGTTTATAATTTTATTTTCAGCACAGCCCTGGCGAAAGAGAGGCCCTCACTGATAGATGGTGAAATTGAAGCTCCAGTTGGCTGACTTGTCTAATGGTCTGTCACTAACAACCAAACCATAGCCTAAGCTCTTTGCATTCCAGTCCTGTGTCCTTTTCCCTGGAGGAGAGGGAACTGTCTGGCCAGAGGTCTATGAACACAAGACATCATTACTAGCAGCTTCATAGTTTATGGTGCAAAGAACATGCAAAAAAGCCAAAGATAAGAACAATTTACTTAGTCATAACACACAAACTCAAAGTCCCTGAGTTATTTGCCGCAGGAGAAAACATGTGACTACAGGTGACTAGACAATCAGCTCCTGTGACTTCTGGATACGGAACCAAGAGCAAGCACGTCGGTGCAACATTGCAGAGACAGCTGAGGAGGAAGGAACCAGCCCAGACCAGAGAAGTCTTTGGCTGGTGAGCCCTTAGATGAATTTCATATTTAAGTCCCTTGGACTCTTCTGCTTAGGAAGTGGCCAGGGGTTCTCTAACCAGGCTGCACACCAGAATCATCTGGAATGTTAAAGAAACAAACATTTTCAGACCCACACAAGATCCAAAGAATTATAAACTCCAAACAGTAGAGCCTGGGGAAGTTGCTTTAAAACTCAGCCGAGAAACCCACTGTCTTTTCCTCATTTCTTAGTGCTATAACGTGATGAAAAGAGGAGGTGTCTGTTTTTATTATCCAGTGGGAAAATTAAGTTAGGTTTTATTCTTTAAGGGCTGCTTCCAGAAGAAAATCTCTAAAACACAAAGCCTTTGCCTACTGGGGAGCTCCGAGGAGTATATCCCTGGTGACCTGGAAGGTCTTTTGTCACACTCCCTTTTGGCTGCACATCAAACTCCCAGGCAACTCTTGGAAAGCTTTTTCTGGTAAGTCAGTTTACCAATTCCTTTGTGAAGGAGACCCTAACCTGCAAGGGTCAGACATCACAAGCAGAGAGAACCTCAGAGTGTGGCCCATACCCACCCCCCACTGACCACCACCACCATCATAAAAGGGCCACTGGCTTCCCCATAATCATCCCTTCTGCCCTGGACAGCCAGCTACTGCTTGGAAAAGGAGAAAGGAAAAGAAAGAAGGTGGTTCAGGCCCAAGCAGCTGGCGCCCTAAGTCAGAGGGACAGAGTCAGTTCTTACCTGGAACTGGGAAGAAGAAGAGCCAGTCCGTTCTGGAAGTTCTCTCTCTGCTAGTGAGCTCCAGTCTTGGAACTCACTGGACTTTGAACAAAGATTGATTTAAAAGCTGATGTATTTAACAGCGACCTGTGGTCTGAGTTCAAGTGACCTCTGTCCTGCTTCCTGCCAGCTGATGGGCCCTGAGCAGGGCAAAGCTGAGACATCTGCAGCAAGCCCAGTGCTGGGCCCGCCTGCTTCACCCCATGGGGACGCTGTTGCTCACCTGCCCCTCCCAAAGAAGAGAAAGGAGAGGAGGGAAGGGGCAGCTGAGGAGGAGGAGGGGCCTCTGCCTTCTTTGCTTTTCTCCCTTGGCAGATGCGTCAGTCACACCAACCAACACTCAGTGCATTAAGAAGCTCCACTGTGCCCTATTCCAGGGTCAGGGCTGGGGGTACCACCTGAGCATCCTCACCCACTCAGGCCTCCATGGGGAGCAGGAACCTCTGTGACCCCTACCTAGTAGAAGGTCTGTGTGCCAACAAACCACAGTAAATGGAGCAAAACCCCTCAGGCTCCCTTCTTCCTCCCCTGGGAGTTTTTATCTACATGCAAAACCCTGGTCTTATTTCCCAGACCTCTCCTCTTCTTACATGTTCTCTCTTCACTCCCTTCTGTTACCTGAGGGTACTCTGTTCTATTCTCTAACCTAGTAACAATTGTCCTCCCCTGCCACCCACTCAGAGCCTCTCAGGCAAGCCCAGCAGGGGAAGATGGAAGGCATTTCCACAAGCTCCTCAGCATGGCTGCCTGGGCAGTATGCTGCCCTGGAGCAGCAGCCGATCCCATCAGCACACCCACACAGGCAGACCGAGAGCCAGGCTTCTGACTGACCTGGGTTCTCAGCCCACACTGGAAATCAGGGCAAGAAATTGCTCTAGGCAGTAAGGCAAAGCAAACCCCAAGCTGAGGACAGGGTGACCTCATCCTCCTCCACCTATGCTGGAAGGGCTACTGGTCTTGGCTGGGCCTTGGCTTTTCCCAAGAAAGGCCTGGCCCAAGCCAGAGGGTAAATGGTCAAAAATGATAAACATCTGAGCAGCCTACTCAAATCAGATTATGTCCACCTGGATTGCCATGCCCCCTGGGCCTCCTGTGTCTCTCCCTAAGTGGCGAAGAAGAAAGGAAAAATCTTGATTTAAGATTAGGATACCTGTGTTCAAATGTGACTCTGCCATTTCCCAGGTGTTTGATCTAGAGTAATTCATTTCTAACTCTGAGTCTCACTTACCTTCATCATCTGTAAATAATTGTTATTATATTGTTTTTAGAGATTTTTAAAATATTGAGTCAAAGGTCTCTCACTTCTGCCCATAAATCCTAAAAGTTCCCTCTGGAGCCACTCTGAGTCTATTCTACACAGCAGCTCTTCAGATATTTGAAGGCTGTTATATCCCCCATAAGCCTTCTTTTCTCTGGGATTCAGTGAATGTCCCTTATTCCCTAAGGTGATCTGCCTAGGCCATGACTTCAGGTCTTCCCCGCCAGGCTCCCAGGCTCTAAAGGGGGAAACTTTAAGGTGAGGGAATTGTTCTATATCTTGAGTGTGGGAGTGGCTATGCAACTGTCTAAAATTATCAAACTTCACCAATCTATACACGTAAAACAGGTGAATCACATGGCATGTAAAAAATACTTTAATTGCTAAGAAGCCTAAATCAGTAATATTTATTCTTGACACTTCTAAAATTTAAAAACTTTGGAGTGACAAAAAGAAAATAAAATAAAGACAGCCCTCACAGCAGAGCATATTCTCATCAGGAGACTTCTCAGACTTCCCCTTCATCCCAGCAGAGATGGAGAAATAGCCACAAGGTTTGAACCTATGAATGGAAAAGACCTTGAAATGCAGAGAAAGTAGGGTGCCTCGGTGGCTCAGTCGTTTGAACATCGGACTCTTGACCTTGACTCAGGTCCTGATCTCAGGGTCTTGGGATCAAGTCCTATGTTGGGCTCCATTCTCAGAGGGGAGTCTGCTTGAATTCTCTTTCTCTCCCTCTGCCCCTCCCACTGCTCACACACACTCTCTCTAAATAAATAAATAAAACTTAAAAAATAAATAAATAAATGCTGGGACGCCTGGGTGGCTCAGCTGTTGAGCACCTGCCTTCAACTCAGGGTGTGATCCTGTGGTCCTCGGATCGAGTCCCACATCGGACTCCCTGCATGGAGGTTGCTTCTCCCTCTGCCTATGTCTCTGCCTCTCTATCTCTCATGCATAAACAAATAAAATCTTAAAAAAAAATAAACGCAGAGAAAGTTTTGGTTCAAAATCAAAGAGAAGGGCAGCCCCAGTGGCTCAGTGGTTTAGCGCTGCCTTCAGCCCAGGGCATGATCCTGTAGACCTGGGATTGAGTCCCATGTCAGACTCCCTGTGTGGAGCCTGCTTCTCCCTCTGCCTGTGTCTCTGCCCCCCCCCTCTCTCTGTGTCTTTCATGAATGAATAAATAAAATCTTTAAAAAAAAACAAAATCAAAGAGAAACAAGCATTTTGTTTTTAAGTGACTAAACCCTTTCCCAGTGGAATATTGAATGGAATGTTTGCCCTCACTAAAACTTGAATTTTAAAAGCTCTCCTGCCTATAAATGGATCTTATCTGATTAATGCAGTCAATCTTTTTATTGATTGCTTAGATCAAGACATTAATGAGAAGAGAAAATAACATTATCTGTTATATGCCTGATAATCCTTTATATCCATTATTCTGTTTAATCCTCAGTACAACCCTTTAGGCCGATATCTCCATTTAACAGATAAGAAAAGCCTAGACTCACCTGGTCAGTTATCCTGCCCAAGGTCTCTTGATTCAGAAGAACTAAGGAGCCTGTCTGTGGGTGTTATGGCACCTGTATGATGAGGCCCCCAGCCACCCAGAGAAGGAATGTGCTCTCCCTCTCTAGGGGTATTCAAGCAGAGGCTGATAGCTTTGTATCTGGTTACAGAGAGCTATCCTGCATTGTTAGGGAGATTGGAGTAGGTGTTAGGGAGGAGGAATAGATTGGTAGTACTCTTAGGTCTTCCAAGCTTGGGTCTCTTCCAGCTCTGAGATTCTGCGATCTTAAATACCATGGATCTAAGACTGCTCGGCCATGAGGGTGTGTGATATAAGCCCTGGTGTGTGCATAAAAGGGCATGTAGGTAAGAGTTATGGGCATGGGCTTATGAGCATGAAATCAAACAAATGCTGTATTGAATCCTAACTCTACCATTAATAGTTTTGATAGTTTTATACTTTTTCTCTAGGAATCCTTGGCAGCCCTAGTGGAGGGTTTGCTTTTGTTTTTGTGAGGTAGCACCTCTCCATACCCCTAGAATAATGAAGAAAGGCACTAACTACAGGGCCATTTTATGTAACTTGCTTTAGTGTTTCTAGATCATGCAAATAATCCACATCAGCTACAACTCCAACCCCTTTTTGGGGGGGAGGGGCACAGAGGGAGAAGGAGAGAATCTTAAGCAGGCTCCATGCCCAGCACAGAGCCCGTCATGGGGCTGGATATCATGACCCTGAGATCATGACCTGAGCCAAAATCAAGAGTCGGACACTTAACTGACCAAACCATCCAGGAACCCCCACCCTAGCCTCCTGTTAAGGCAAATCTATGGTTGGGAATTCACACTATGAAATTCTTTTTTTCTTCCCAGAGTCTAGACCAAGATAGATAGTTTCCTTGCTATTCCTGATCGGTTTTACCCTGTTCTGTGCTTTCCATAAATAGATCCCTCTTCATCATACTTATATATTATGTTTATTAATTATTTTCTGTCTCTCCCCAACCACAATATAAATTCCCCAAGGGGCAGGATTTGTTTTTATCACTGCATCCCAAGTGCCTGGAATAGAAGCCTAAATTATAGCAAGCTTTCAAAAAATGAAATTGAGAAAGGAGTGAAAAGATGCATTTCATTTTGCCAGCTTGGTTTTTATCTGGCCCTTTAACTAAGAATGCAGATTTTTGAGGGTCTAATCTCCTATCCCAAAGTGATTCTGTGAGAACAAACTGCTTGCTTACTGTTTTTTCAGCTTCCTCTTCACCTCTAGACCTTAGAGATTTCTTTCCTTTCTTCTAAGTTTAACGCTCTGTTGAAAAAATACTTGATATATTTAACCAGCATTTCTATGGACTTTGTAGAAAGAGGATTTTCAGGTTATCTAGTCTGCTGTGTTTCCAGAAATAGTTCTATCACTTAGCAGTTATTCTTCTCAAAGCTCCAGCTTTTTGTTTTATAAAATATAGATAATATTAACAATCTCATAGGATTTTTAGGAGACTTAAGTGAGAAGACTTTTGTAGATCACCCAGAACCTAGTAAATGCATAAATAAATAAATAAATCAAGCAAGCAAGCAAGCAAGCATATAATAACATTATTACTATTGTTTTTACAAGTCATGCTCTCTTGATTTATGGGCACATATTGTACAGACAAGCTCATGCAAATAAACAGGCTAGGAGTACACCTTGGGCAAGTCAGGAGTTCAGGATGTTTGGGGGCATTATGGATGACATTCTTGCAGACCCATAATGCATCATTCTGTGCAACTGATCAGAAACAGAAAACTGCAAAGACTTCCCAGTGCTTCCCAATACTTTCCCACCATGTCACACAGAGAAATTAATAGTTGTGTAGTTCACTAGGGTAAACAGATGAGGCTTCTCAAGACTGGAGTGACCCACCGAGGACCAGCTGCCCCAAGCTCTCCCAGACTCCTCAAAGGTTAAAGGGATTGATACTTTGTCACACTCATAGGAAACGATAAAACATTATTGAGAGCAACTAAAGAAAACTTAAGGAAATGAAGATTATACCATACTCATGGACTAAAACTTCAGCACTATAAAGATGTTCATTCTTTCCAAACTGACTTACAGATTAAGGTATTTCCCCATCAAACTTCTTGCAGAGCACATGTGTTTATTTATTTGGTTGGGGTTTTTTGGTGGAGGTTGACATGCTAGTTCTGAAAAATAAGACTAAGGAAGCCCTCCTGGGTACCAAGACAGTGGAGATACGGTAATTATTACAATATGCTTGGGCACCGGATGGACAATGGGCTAATTGAATAAACTAGAAACCCCCCAAACAGACCAGTACAAATAAAAACAGTTAATTTATGACAAAGAACACAGGGAAATGTTGGTCTTTTTCAATAAATTGTTCTGGTGTATTCCTTTTGGTTTTGGTTTATTTCA